TCTTGCTTCAGACAAGACCAGATATGCCAACCTTAATAACAACCAGAGAGAGATTTTCCAATGGAAAATGATACTTATTTGAAGAGAATAGCATTGCAATGGGAATGCTATTCATAATTAATCAACATGCTCAAAGAAGTTGAGGCAAGAGGAACTTTTTAAAGGCAAATTTAGGATGATTACACATGATATTTTGTAACAATAATCCTTGGATATGAAGATTTATAGCAAGGATCATGGGAATTTGAGGTTGAACAGAGAGCAGCTGGCTAGATTTCCTTGCAGAAGTAGTTGTTGTATAAGTACTTGTTGGGGTGGCCTTTGTGTAAGGTTATGGTTCTGACAGTCAAATATGCACAATTACCCTTCCTTCATAAACTCCAAGACTTATTACTTTTTTGTTAGGGTAGTCTTGAGGGACTCCGATTTGATTTTGACAACTTTCACACAGTTGACCTGAATTAGAGTCATGAGGAAGTTTCCTCTGCTTTAACCCATATATGAAAGTAACCTGAACTAACCTGATGTTAGTCAATCAGTCTATTGATGTTCTATTTCTTCATTTCCATCTTACAAAATGCACTCTTCTGCTATTTTCTAGTGGAAGCTCTCACCTTATTTTGTAAAATGGAGGATTCTCTGATTCATAAATTGTGAATAAAATCCAGTTAGATCTACAACTAAGTCTGTTGTAATTTTGGCATTTGAGGAGTTTCTTAGAACAAACCTATATCTTCGTTGCATTTCTTCCTGTTTTTGGTTGTGATCCTCTAGATACTAAACTTTACAGGTTTAATTAGCCCCATTCAATGCCTTGTCCTCTCATTCCTCTTTCTCTTTCTGCTCCGTTTTCCTTCTTCCACCTCCATTCCCTCTACCATGATTATGCCCCAGGACCTGAGACACTCATTCCACATGAGTCATGCTTATGTCTCTCTCTGCCTGCTTCTTACCCCTCCAACTTGGTCCCGGTCTCCTCTGGCATCCTTTCTGTCCCCACTTCTTTTTTACTGCCCAAGGTGAGATAGACTCATGGCAGTATACGTGTAAAAATATGGTCAGGTTGGACACTGTAAAAGGGCAATTATATTAACATTCTACTTTGGTCATAAATTCTGTATTATTTGCCATGTGCATATACATGTTAATATTGATGTAATGTTTATGACACAAAAATTTGTGTCTTATATTTTTTGACTCAAAGCAATTTTCTGATGGACCTAGATTTCTATAATTATATTTAGAACTGTGTAGCAAACTAGAAACTGGCCAAATATTGTATTTAACAATTAACTTTTACTGCATGTGCATTTATAAGTACAGATTGTCCCAACTGGTTTGACTAATGATTTTTCAACATTACTGTATGTACTTTGAATTTTGATCTCTGCCTGGGCTAGTGTTTTGTGATATTATAGTCTCTTATGATACCAGGTAGTGACAGTGAGCCCTGAGTCCCAGTTAGCCACAAGATATGGTGAGCAGTCAATACTCTGTACTGCATCAAGCTATGCTATGCATTAAATTAGGTGTATTGAATGCATCTTAAGCTTATAATTTCAGTTTACAATGTATTTATCAGGATATAATTCAACTGTTTGTGAAAGAGAATCTCTACTCTATTGAAAGGTATTTAAGGTTAATAAGGGTAATAAATTTACTTATTTATTATAACAAAATCTGCATGTAACATCCCAAATCATATCATTATTCTGTTTTATCCTTCTGAAAGAATAGTTCAGTTGGAGAAATTCTGAATTTTAGGATGAATTGTGGG